CGTCGTGCCCTCTATTGGTCTGGCTAAAAGGAAGGCCCAGGGGTCGATGTCTATCGGTCTGTTGAGAATAGTAGTCAGGAGGTCCCTGAGCTCTCTCCAAAGCATCTGTAACCTATCACATACCCACCACATATGGACAAATTCCTTTAAATAACTGTGTATGTATCTTCTTTAGACCCAATTTTACATCCATCCCTGCAACAAGGCCATTTAATTTTACTCAGCCTTTATTTTCCACAGTCCCTCTCCTCAGCATTTCTGATGCCAGACTCTTTTACGACGCAGTGCATGCATGCAGATGTCCTGACGCTGATGATGTCTCGACCCACCAAAAAGTTTGTGTTCAAATGTTTTGGGGGTGTGGATATACAATTATAGACACACACTATAAAAAGGGTTCCTAGGGCATGGATCATTCCCCTGTTGTGGTTCTTATTTTAGTTCCCAATAGTGCTTGTATTCTCTGTGTATTTCTAGCTATTTGATCTTGGCTATTCTGATTATTCTCCTTTCTGTAATCCTGTCATTTAGCTATAGTACCTCACTTCCCTGATTTCTGGTTTCCCTGACTAAGCTTGTACCTTACTATTATCTATCTATCAAATAAAGTAAAGCCCGGCCACTCTAAGGACCGCTATAGGTTTACTTCTATTTTCATTTACACTCTACATGTTGGGCCGCTTACTAATTGTGACACTGGGTTATTGCTATTTGACTAATTGAAAAGTAAGCTTTCATTTCTCAATTTTGATTAATTTATTTTTCTTGTCAAAGTCTGTTATAGTTATGTTTTGTTCAACCCACTAAAGATAATAGTTCTTGCATTATAACTGGCTAAATAAAACAAGCCAATATCAATCTATATGACTAATATTTACTTTCTAATTTATTGCAATCATAATTTTAGAATATATGCACACATATTAGTTGACCTTATTAATCAGAAACAAATTTTATTAAAATAATTGTTTCAACACCATATTTAGTATATACACATTAGTCTACATTGCTAGGTTTGGACATAACAGCCTTATCCAGGCACAATAATTAAGTCTTCAAAGGGTCAAAGATACTTATTTCTCTCCTTCGAATTGCATCATAACCTGTAGCAAAAAGTAGAATACAAAAAGACATTTTATCATAACTGGACGATTTCAAACCTTGTGCCTTTTTTATATTATAAAGTTGTTTATACTATGTATTTATTATTGAAAATGGGGCACAGTTTTCTTTTTAATCGCAAAACATGGCCACCATCACTTCCACTTGGAGCAATAGAACAGCTTCAGCAATTTCCGATAATAATCTTATAGAAGTATTTCTAAAAAGACCAGTGATTAACCCTAAATAAGATCATAGGCGTGCGCACGGGGTGTGCCGGGTGTGCCTGGGCACACCCTAATCCCGCGGCACGCCTATGTGTATTGAGACCGGCAGGGGAGATCTCAGGATCTCCCCTGTCGGCTCATGCAGAGCCGGCGCTATCCGAGCGCCGGCTCTGCTCTCAGCCTCCCTCCCCACTGACCCACATGCAGGGAGGGAGGCAGGAGAGGACCCGGCGGAGCTATTGCCGGCAGCTCCGCCGGGTTCCTCTCGCGAGATATGAGCGTTGCCACGGCAACGCTCAAATCTCGCGAGAGTGAACTCTAGCCCCACAGGGGGCTAAAGTTCACTCTCCACTGGACCACCAGGGATCACAGCAGCAACAAGGATCCCCTCCTCCACTGGACCACCAGGACCACGATCCCCCCTCCCTACAAAAGGTAAGAAGGGAGGGGGGATAGCAAATAATGTACCTCCACCCCCACAATCACCCACCCACATACAGCACACACAGCACACACACATACAGCACACACAGACATACAACACCCACAGACATACAACACCCACACACATACAGCACCCACAGACATACAACACCCACAGCACCCACAGACATACAGCACCCACAGACATACACAGCACCCACACATACAGCACCCATACACATACAGCACCCACAGACATACACAGCACCCACACACATACAGCACCCACAGACATACACAGCACCCACAGACATACAGCACCCACAGACATACAGCACCCACACACATACAGCACCCACACACATACAGCACCCATACACAGCACCCACAGACATACACAGCACCCACACACATTCAGCACCCACAGACATACAACACCCACACACATACAGCACCCACAGACATACACAGCACCCACACACACAGAGCACCCACAGACATACACAGCACCCACACACATACAGCACCCACACACATACAGCACCCATACACAGCACCCACAGACATACACAGCACCCACACACATAGAGCACCCACAGACATACACAGCACCCACAGACATACACAGCATCAACACACATACAGCACCCACACACACATACAGCACCCTCACAAACACACACAGCACACAAACAGCACCCTCACACACACACAGCACACTAACAGTACCCTCACAAACACAAACAGGACCCTAACAAACACACACACAGCACACTACCAGTACACTCACATACAAACAGCACCCTCACACACAGTACATTAACAGCACCCTCACAAGCGCGCACACACACACAAACAGCACCCCCACACACAGTACATTAACAGCATCCTCACAAGCACGCACACAAACACCCTCACCCACATAGCACACTACCAGCACCGTCACACACACATCACACTAACGGCACCCTCACACAGCACACACACACACACACACAGCAGTGTGTATGTATATATGTATATATATATATATATATATATATATATATACATATATGCGGCGTGTGCTTGTGCTTTAGGGTGCACACCCTAATGCAATAGGCTGCGCACGCCTATGAATAAGATATAACATTCAAGCTAAAATACATGTATACAAAGTGGAAAAATAATAGGGGGAAGCTACAAATAAACCTAAAATCTAAGATATGTAGCGCCTTATTACAAGGTCCTTTGTAAGATGTACAGGAACACATAATGTGACGATGTTAACGTGGCAAAAAGAACACAGTAGGCATTGGAATTGCTTCTTCTTATTAAAATGGTTATAGTGTGTGGAGTCCCCTGAGAAGTGATGGGTGGCAGTGAGGACCTAAGAGTATCAGAATCTGTTGACTGGTTTCAATGATCACAGCCACCATTGCCGGTATGGCTAGAAGTGTGTAATGATTTCCTTAGACATACCTCCAATGAGCGTCCTCGGCTGTGGGTGGCTAGGGATCCTTGTTCAGTGTTAAACTGGTCAAAATTGGCTTTAACATTGAATAGAGGGACAGTGCCAGAGACCTACAGGCACAATAACCAATTCAATGAGATGGATTGATTGTAGTGCCTACAGTGTCCATTTAACAGCATACTTAATCTGAATCTGAAAATGAGGGCATATTAAAAGTCTAGTAAACTCAATTAAGAATTGAGATGACTAGGAGCACTTCAGAGCTTATTGCAAGCTGGTGGTTGTGAGAGAGGGTTGGTATGTCCTAGGAGATGTTCACTGGTAACTCCTATAAAAGTCTGTGCAACCCGATAATGAGGGCACAGGTCCACCCACTGAAATGGCCATACACATTGCGCGGCCTCCCTGAAACTGAGGACTCCCCCCAGGAAAGCCTTCTGGAAATATTTAATGGGTTACTAGGCCGTGACCACCAGGCTCCTATAAAATTTGTAAGAGCTCATAGAGCCCTCCGTCCTAAGGGCACGCCAGATAGCCCACCCAGGGATGTCATTTGCTGCCTGGCGAATTTTGCCTTAAAGGAGACTATCATTAAACAAGCACGAGGCCAGCAAACGCTCACCTACCGGAACCAAGACCTGCAACTCTTCCCAGATCTATCGCCGGCTACTCTGACCTACCGACATGCTCTGAAACCGCTCACGAGAGTACTAGTGGCCCAACAGATCCGGTACAGATGGCAGATGCCCACGGGACTGCTTGTCCACACGCCGAGAGGTCCATTCCTGGTCCGCACACACAGCGACTACATAGCGCTGGGCACAGAGCTCCAACTGCCCGCTATAAACATAAGATGGCCAGATCCATTAAACATATATACCGCCGCAAGAAACCACTATCCGAGACCGGCGCTGCCGCAACGCACTTGATGGGGACGCCAGGAGGCCACTAGGCCTACAGGTACCACCCGCTAGAGGGCATGACTTTCCCTCCTCTCACCCCCCCGCCGCGCCCGGCCCTGGCCGCTTCGCACCAACCTAGCCCTCCCTAGGGCACAGAAAGTCCCGCAAAAGGACTTGGACACTGTCCCCAGGTACAAACTTGGCCAACTTACAGATTGGACACCTCATATTTGCATTCTTTCCCTCCCCCCTCAGAGCAGCACCTCTTACCGGGCTGCGCGAACAATTGCCGGGCCATATTCCACCTACAGCCATGCCGCACAGAGGCGTTACCATGGACATAAAGACGTGGCCCAAGGGACTGTGGTACCTGGTAGTGCCTGCAAGTGTTGGCATTGGCCCGCTGGGAGTGCCTACTGCGCTGTGTCTCCTGTGGCACACGCGCCTGCACATGCTGAAATTGCCCACTGCATTGTATTTAACATGTATATGTGCCTGCGCATGCTAAAATTATTTACGGCATTGTATATCATATGCATACCCGCATGCACAGGTTACAACTACCCTCTACGCTGCAAACCACTGTATATGCGCCTGCACATACTAAAATCACCCACTGCAGGGTATATAACACGGCATAGGCGTCTACACATGCTAAAATTGTCTATTGCATTGTATTGACCCATATCCTAGACATACGAGCTGTAGAAAGGGGGTTAAGCCCTGTCGGGACCCGGGGGTTAGTTCCCGCAGACACACAAAAGTAACACTTTGTCGGCCGGGGGATTTCTACCCCCTGACACCAGTGCCTCTGCTCCATTGGCCCCCTCCGTGCCCCGCCCTGCCTGCCCTGGACCGGGCTCTACCTACCTAGGCCCTCACCCACCCTCACAGATCGGGGCGACACAGAGGCTCGTGGGACTTGACAATACGGCTACACCCGCACCCAAATGCGCACCAGCCCCACTCAACTTCCTATCCCTAAACGCCAAGGGCTTAAACTCCTCTGAAAAGAGGTCACATGCACTACACCTCTGTCAGAAAGCGAGAGCCCATGTGGTCTATCTCCAAGAAACTCACTTTAAAATCGACTCTATACCGAAACTCTGTAACCACATATACACCCAGGGATTCTACAGCAATAACCCGGACGGGAAATCTAAAGGGACAGCAATACTCCTACACAAATCCATACCCTTCGTAGCTGACTCGACCACAACGGATAACTCGGGCAGATATGTATTTGTTAGGGGTAAAATCCTGGACGAAACCTATACCTTTGCCAACATCTACGCCCCAAACACACGACAGGACAAATTCCTTCAGGACACACTCCGGGCCCTCCACGACTTCACGACAGGCTGTCTGGTCCTGGGAGGGGACTTCAACATCGCCTTACACCCGACGATGGACGCATCCAGGGGCCACTCATCGACACCCCTCCCCACACCGCTCAAAATACGGAAACTTCTCCACCAGTACGGCTAGGGACTACACCTTCTATTCGGCCCCAAATGACTGTTACACACGCATCGACTACTTCTTCCCTCCATATTACTACCTACCCACACTGCGGGACTCTGCCGTATGGGGGACAATGTGGTCCGACCACGCACCACTCACGATTCAACTAACATCGCAATTACACAAACCCAAAACCACGACATGGTGGCTCCACGAAAATCTCCTATCCAACCCGCAGGTAGCCCAAGACGTACAACAACCCCTGATAAATTACTTCGCCGAGAACTTACCACAGGACACATTCCCCCTCTTGACATGGGATGCCCACAAGTGTGTGATTAGAGGGATCCTTATCTCACACTCCTCTGCCCTGAAAAAGGCACAGGAACACATGATCCAAGAACTAACCGCCAAGATAGGGACCCTAACACAGGCCCACAATTGAACACTAGATGACACACTTCTCGGGGAACTCACAGCAACCCGCAAGGAACTAGCACGGGTCCTGCGGCAATCGTACACTAGGGCCCTCCAGCACACTAAATCTTTTTTCTACACGGAAGGGGACAAGTGCGGCAGGTTGCTGGCCAGAATGATCAATAAAAAAAGCTCCATGACATATATTGCATGCATGGGCGACGCCGCAGGTCAACTACATCACATGCCAGACCAAATTGCTACAGCTGTAACATGCTTCTACAAAGACCTTTACGCGATCCCCCCCCACACCCCTCGAGCAGATCCGAAACTGGGAGCGACCCGCATGAACGTATACCTCACTAAATATACCAAAACCAAACTCTCCTCAGATGCAGTGGCGTCACTGACGTAGGGAGAACTGGCTCTGGCCATCAAAACCTCAAAGACAGGCAAAAGCCCGGGCCCAGATGGCCTCCCCCTCAAATACTACAAAACCTTCTTGGCCACATTGTTCCCCCAATATATCTAGGCCTTCAACTCCATAACAGAGGGAAATACAATCCCTCAACAAACACTGGCGGCCAACATTGTCCTGTTGCCAAAGGAGGGGGAAGATACCGAACGGTGTACAGGCTACCGGCTGATATCACTACTTAACTGCGACTTCCGCCTGTTCGCTAAAATACTAGCTACAAGGTTGAATCCACACATACCAGACTTAATCTCTCCTGATCAAGTGGGATTCGTCCCCCACAGAGAAGCCAGGGATACTACGGCCCGGGCCCTCTCTCTGATCCACCACGCACAGCGCACCTCGGAGAGCCTTCTCCTCCTCTCTACGGATGCGGAGAAGGCCTTCGATAGGGTGGCGTGGGACTATCTATTCTCGGTACTGGAACACATCGGCCTGGGGAATCATATGCGCCAGTGGATAGAATCTCTTTACTCATCCCCCACGGCCAGGGTGTGCATAAACGGGGTCTATAAGGATGCATTCTCGGACAGAAACGGATTTAGGCAGGGCTGCCCCCGTTGCCACTTTTATTCATCTTGGACCTGGAGCCCTTTTTACAGGCGGTAAGGGACAACCCAGATATTTCGGGGGTGACAGTGGGGGCAGACCACCACAAAATTGCAGCATATGCGGATGATATGCTATTTTTCATCACTAACCCAGAAATCTCCCTCCCAAACCTCATGGCAGAATTTAAGACATACGGCCAAATCACCAACCTCAAGATCAATTATGCTAAATCCTCTATCCTCAACACTGGCTCCGACGAAACTTCCCCTTCCAATGGCGAGACACCGCTATTAAATACCTGGGTGTGAGGCTCACGGCCGACCTATCCAAACTATACCATATGAATTTCACCCCACTGCTGGGAACCATATGGAAGAATCTGACGGATTGGGCCACACGTCACTTTTCCTGGCTTGGCAGGGTTGCCATCGCCAAAATGGTAATTCTCCCACGGGTACTTTCCTTATTCCAGACACTAATAATCTCACTCCCTACCACCTTCTTCTCAGCAATCCGCACCCTCCTCATTAAATTTATCTGGAAGGGCACTAAACCCAGACTCAAATACACACAACTCACACTCCCCAAAACAGCAGGAGGCCTGGCCGTTCCTGACCTCAAATTGTATTACCAAGCATGCCACATGCAACGGGCCCTGGAATGGGCAAAAGAGGGGATTAGCAAACCCTGGAAGGCCATCGAAACACACCACGCAGGCAGACCCCTTTCAGCCCTTCTGTGGCTGGACCCCACGACTGGTAGGCGGTTGGTCTACCAACAACCCTTCATCACCGCCACTCTAACCATATGGCACTCACAAGCGAGGAAACTACGTCTCTCCTCCTTCCCATCCCCACTATTACCTCTGGTGTACAATCCGGACTTTGAACCGGGGATAAGACCAGGAAACCTCCGCTGCGTCCTCCCACGAAACATACCCAGAGTCCGAGACATGACTGCCAATGGGAAAATCTTGCACCTACGGACGCTCACGGGCACACTCACCCACCCCTTCATGACGACATTTAGGTACACCCAAATTAAGAACTACATTACCAACATACCACAACACCCCGACGTATATAGGGACCTTATGCCATTCGAACAGTTGTGCCAGGACCCGGAATGCCCACTCATAGTACCGTTCTGGGAGAAAATAGCTGCCATAGTGGCCCTGTTCACAAACAATGTCCCACCCTTCCAGCCTGCCCCGTACCTCCTGCACCACACCACAATACAATACAAACGCTCCCTGACCATCTGAATTCTTAATGTCGCAAAACACATAATACCTTTGTACTGGAAAAAAGACACAAGCCCAACGCTTTCCCTGTGGTTTAGTAGAATTGAGAAGTTACAAGTTACAGAGGAGATCTGGTATACAGCCCAAGACCGAGCGCAGACATACTTAGACACATGGACACCCTGGCTGGCTGGAACGGGTGGGTACGGAGGCATTTCGGACTGTGTATCTGACCATGGGGGGAGGAACGGACAATCCCCAGGAGGAGACACCAGGAGACTAACGGGACAATCCACACCTGCCCCCAAAGCACAGTACCTCACTCCCATACCCTACCCCATCCCCCTACCCCCTGTCAGGTCCGGGCGGAACATGGGCTTTGGGGCCCGGGGAGCGTCGCGGAGGCTGACCCCACGGGAGCGTACTGGGGGGGCTATGACACCAGTCAGGGTGCGGCCGCCTGCAATACCCAAAATGGCCTACGGCCTCGCAAGTGCAGGGGGTGGAAGCACACCAGTTTCGTGAGCTACAAAGTTTATTAGTTTAGACGGAAATGCAGGATGTTCCTTAGGTTATCCCCATCAACACCATATGTAACGCTGGGCAGAGCCGAATTGTACCAAAGTAGGGGGTCAACACCCAACTATACCGCCATTCAGGATTCTAGACACGAGGTCACCAGGGGTCTGCGTGTCCTGATGGGACCCTACACATTAGGAGGCCAACATGTCTCACTACTGCCTAGTGACTACAGGGTGGGCACGGAGGAATAGACGAAAACCTGCGGGAGATACAAACCTACCCAACGTAGAAATGGTACACATCAAACATAAAAGAGTACTATTCATAACTATGAACTACCAGACCTGCGAGTCCACCATACACACGCCATTTATTCAAGAAAGCGACCTGCGAGTCGCCAATACACGTCTGACAGACCGTACCTTACGATGTATAAGCATATAGAAATAACCAAAGGGACCTGCGAGTCCACGTTTTTCCTTTCCATGTTGGAAACAAACAAAAAAATGTTCAATAAAAACATTTTCACAAAAAAAACACAGCTTGATCATCAAATATACATTTACTTTCCTTACCTGGGCAGAAACGCCCCTCCATAGCCTTAGACAGCTCTTGAGCAATGCTTGCTCTCGGTTCTTCCCTAGTGTTCCCATGAGCAGGAAGCTCAAAAACTGCCTTGGTTCTGTCAGAAGGAATATATTACTAGAAATTTACTATCAGGTGCCCACACAAATTGCAAAATAAACACAGTGCAATCCAAGAGATGCCAAATAACCTACTAAAAAAAACCATTTAGATTTAGAAAATTACCTTTTTGTATGTTTTGGGTTTTTGAGTAATTCAGGCAGTCAGGGCAGTTGAAACTTGAGGTAATGCCAAACAGATGCATCTTTTTCATCTTATGGATGTTGCGGTACCAACTTCGACAATGTTTAGCATGTTTAGAAATGTTCATATTATGGAAGGTCTTCCTTCTCTTGAATTGTGTGTCTCATGACAATCCAGTTCTCTCTCCAGGTTTTTGGCCTTCTGACAGTTATTTGATGTTTTTTTTCAGAAAAAGAAATCTAAGGTGAATCTTTGCATAGACTTAGTTTGTAAAATGTATAATTCTAAATTAAACACATTTTTGTAATATTTATAATAAAATATAATAAAAATAGTAATCCAACAAGTTTTTATTATATCAGTATACATTCAGGCAGGGGGATGCATAGTTTTCCCCTTCTTTGTGACTGAGCTTTTGTATTGTATTTATCGTAACCATGCAAAATCACCATCATTACAAGATTAAGCAATGCAAGGAACTCTAAAATGCTAATAATGCATAAAGTATAATATCTAAAAAAAGGAATAAAATAGTCCAATATTAAGACTAGGAGAGGAGATAAGAGCTTAACTATATGCTTCTAAAATTTGTCTCTACATGCAAACCTGAAACTCTGGAATGAACGTTAACATGAAGCCCAACAATCCAAATGTGGACAGCCACTCAAATAATGCTCTGATGAAATGAATTTAGAAGAGTGGATGCAAGGCATGTAGGATGCTATGCTGCAATTCTATTTTTCTATAGTTTTTACACTTTAAACCCCTTAAGGACTGGAGGAGATTGTACAAGTTCTGATCAAAACGTAAACAAAACCTGGAATTTGCGCTGTCTGTTCAACCGTAATTCACCTCTTTCATATTAAATTCACTCACACATTATTTATCATTTTGTTCAGGAGAAACAGGGCTTTCGTGTCACATCAAATATTTATATAAGAAACACAATTCAATATGAATAAAATCCAAAAACGTTTGATAAAGGAA